GTCGGCCGTTTAGAAATCCTTGCTAACAAGGCTTATCTAACCTTTTGTGGCTTTGCTTTGCTGGAGATCAACACTGTCTTTACGATGACAAAACAAAAACCTTGAACGACAGAGAAGAACTCAAACTTAAAGGCCAGACCCAGGGCAGTCGAGGCTTAAAACCAAAAGCTGTGAGTCGGTTACAAAAGCATCGTCCCGCAGTACAGCGTCCCCCGGATCCGAGATTCCGCTCTCCGCGGTTTCAGGGGCCTGGGGTGCACCATGGTCCAAAAATATTCCATGGAAAATTTCAGAAAATAAGGAATTCCTAAGTTTTAAGTGGCGTGCCATTCCGAGCGGCAGGCTGAAGCATTCCAGTGCCCAGCTCGGCCCCACAGGGACCTGGTTCTTCCCCTCGGCCAGCATCTCAAGCACAAACACATGGAATCACGTTCGAAGCCTTAAAGGACCACGCGGTGAGAACTACTGCAAACACACCACCCATGTCAGAAAGGGTGACCTCGCCCGGCTGCTGTGGCTCAGTGGATAGAGCGTCGGCCTGCAGACTGAAGGGTCCCGGGTTCAATTCTGGTCAAGGGCACATGCCCGGGTTGTGGGCTTGCTCCCCAGTGTGGGACGTGCAGGAGGCAGCTGGATTCTCTCTCATCAGTGATGTCTCTCTCTCTCTCTCTCTCTTTCTCTCTCTCTCTCTCTCTCTCTCTCTCTCTCTCTCTCTCAATTCCTCTCCTTTCCTTTCTGAAATCAATAAAAACATACTTAAAAAAGGGAGGGGGGAGGGAACCGTGCTACAAGGCGGCCATAGAGGGAAATTCTCAGATTTCCTTCTTCAGGACTCAAGTATATCTTCCCAGGCTCCCAAAAACCTCGTTTCCTTCCTAAGAGCAAACTTAACAATGAACTGTTCTCCATCTGTGAAAGAAATGTACACGTGCCCGGCCGGTGTGGCTCAGTGGTTGAGCATCAACCTACAAACCAGGGGGTCACAGTTCCATTCCCAGCCAGGGCACATGCCTGTGTTGTGAGCTTGATCCCCAGTGTGGGATGTGCAGGAGGCAGCTGGATTCTCTCTCATCCTTGATGTTTTTCTCTCTCTCCCTCTCCCTTCCTCTCTGAAATCAATAAAAATATCTTTTTTAAAATGTACATGTGACCGTTGGAGCTCACAGGAGCCTGGACCCGGAGGACCCCGTCACCCGCCGCCCGCGCCCACCTGGTTCTTCCTGTAGTCCTGCTGCGAGTGCCGGAGGACCCGGTAGCAGAGCCGGCAGATGTGCCGGAACGGGGCGTGCCGCTGGTCGCCCAGCTCCTCCAGCCGCAGCATCGGGCCGTCCCCGCAGTCTGTGAACGGGGCCTGCAGCAACTTGAAGATCTGTGTGCGAGAAGAAAGCAAACACCGCCATCGTCCGTGTCAGCCAGCCGTCGGTCTGGAACCAAGGTAACTCCGCATCGCTGGACGACAGGGAAGACTGTCCACACACACACAGCCACGGCCTGACACCGCGTCCCTCCACCCAGGGGCCAGGACTCGCCCAGTCCAGTCCGCCTGGACCCGCGGGCCTCCAGCCCTGGGAAGTGCGGCGTTAGGGCGGCGGTCACCAGGACAGACTGGGTCTTGGGGAATCTAGGCTGAACTCACACCCCGTACGCCTTCCCAGCAGCACCCATCAAGGTAACCTGGTTTTCTCATCAGTGAAACAGAAGAACACACCACCCTGGCCAGTGTGTCCAGTGGTTAGAGCACCAGCCTGCACACTGAAGTGTCGCTCTCAGGGCTCCCAGTCAAGGGCATGTACCTGGGTTATAGGTCGATCCCCATCCCTGCACAAGGCAACGGGTTGGATGTCTCTGTCTCTCTCACATCAGTGTTGATGGAGCTGTGGAGCCACCTTTGTCCCTCCCCGATCAGCGACCCCACTGACTCTTTGCAGCGCCAGCCCCACGGGCCACAGCCCACCCACCTGCTTGAGGATGTTCTGCTCCCGCATCAGCTTCTGCCGCTCACGGTTGGGCTTGGAGAAGACCACCTCCAGCACGTCCTGACCGGAGTTGGTCCCCCCGGTGACGAAGTACACCAAGTCTTCGAGCAGCTTGGTCACCGACCTGGGGGGCAGAGAGGCTGTCAGACGGGGGAGGGGCTCCATGGTCAGCAAACCGGTGGGCACTGCCCGTGAGGTCCAGGCCTGAGGACCAGGCCCACAGAAGCAGACCCACCCGCCCAGTGTCCTCGGGACTGACCACGAGGCCGACACTGACCAGAGTGACACAGAGATGACACGTGCGTGTCCACGGAAGGATTGTCACCTTCACAAACTAGGAGCCATCAAACTATCTCAGAGGAACCTCAGGCCCTGACGTTTCCCGAGATGGAGCTGGAGACAGAGCGATAGGATCTTTTCAACTTCAGAGACTTCCAAAAAGCGGATGCACCCGCCGGTGTGGCTCAGTGGTTGGGCACTGACCTATGAACCAGGAGGTCACGGTTCGATTCCCGGTCAGGGCACGTGCCCAGGTTGCGGGCTCCATCCCCAGTGTGGGGCGTGCAGGAGGCAGCCGATCCATGATTCTCTCTCATCATTGGTGTTTCTATCCCTCTCTCCCTCTCCCTTCCTCTCTGAAATCAGTAAAAATATACTTTAAAAAAGAGAGAGAATGAATTCAAAGGAGACGATGTCTTGAAAACCACAGGCTGATTCACCCACAAGGCTGAGGCCTGCTGCTCTCACACGTGGCATTCACACGCTCTCCCCAAGGGACCTGAGAGGCCCCGGGAGGCCGCGGAGGGCGCGTCTGCCCGTGGGAGGCCGTGTCTGCCCGTGGGAGCCCTCACCTCCTCTCGTTCTGTGTGATGGTGCCTTTCTCCAGCTTCCCCGCGATGGAGCCCAGCACCTTGCTGGCGTCGTTGGCGAAGTCCAGGTCCCGGACCTCCGCAGGGGAGACCGGCACGATGGCGAACGCCTCCTTGTCCTCCTTCACGGGCGAGGTGCCGATCTGCAACACAGGGCAGTCTCTGCAGCAGCCTCGGGGACGAGACCCCCTCAGGGCGACATCACACGCCATGTTTACGGGCCACCGGGCCACCCACAGAGCTGGGGCTGCCCTGCAGGCGCAACCAACTGGACAGGCAGCACCCCAGGCTGCTACATTGCTACCCCTGGAGCCTCGTGCTGAGGGGACAGGGGGGCGGGAAGGAGGCCCCCTCACCGACAGCTTCATGTGCTACAGCAGTGGTTCTCAACCTTCCTAATGCCACGGCCCTTTAATACAGTTCCTCATGTTGCGGTGACCCCCAACCACAAAATTATTTTCATTGCTACTTCATAACTGTAATTTTGCTACTGTAAACAATATGTAATTAATTATATGTGTGTTTTCCAATGGTCTTAGGCAACCCTTGTGAAAGGGTCATTCGACCCCCAAGGGGTCGCGACCCACAGCTTGAGAACCGCTGTGCTACAGGGAGCACGGGAGACCCGGATCCAACGCGGGTTATAAGTTCATGGGAAAAGCAAATGAGCAAGACGCTCCTTCCTGGCTCCAAGTCACATGTCACAGGGCTGGGTCCGGCACCCCCTCCCAACTCTCCTACACCCCGAAATGTTCACAAAAGTAGAGGAAAAATGCCAAGAACCTCCCCCCCAAAATGGTGCATGTGGCATTCCAATTTTAACAAGAAAACCCCTGTTTGTGCATTTCTTCTCTGTGGTTCTGGAGGAGGCACGCGGGGGGGAGAGGGGGCTTCAGGGAGGGACAGTGAAGAGGATGGGAGATCTTTCTAGAAACAAACCTGCACATTTAAGTTCGCAGGAACAAAGACATAATCAAGACTGGGAAAGTCAGCCGGGACCTGATGTGCCTCAAGGCACAAGCAATTCCCCCAGAGCACCGTCCACACAGACATGAAACCGGACAAATGCTCGCCCTCAGGGCAGAGCCCACAGGAGGAAAGGAAAGGTTCTGGTTATTTCAGAAGCCGGGGGCTCGCGCTGGCCGGTCCCTCAGCGAGAGCGCCGTCATCACACTCCAGGCTGCCCATGACCATGCTCTCGTGTGCCCGTGACCACGCTCTAGGCCAGTGATGGCGAACCTATGACACGCGTGTCAGAGGTGACACGTGAACTCATTTTTTTGGTTGATTTTTCTTTGTTAAATGGCATCCTATATAATAAAAGGTTAATATGCAAATCGACCAAACAGCGGAATGACTGGTCACTGTGACGCGTACTGACCACCAGGGGGGGCAGATGCTCAACACAGGAGCTGTTCCCTGGTGGTCAGTGCGCTCCCACAGGGGGAGCACCGCTCAGCTAGAAGCCGGGCTCATGGCTGGCAAGTGCAGTGGCAGTCGGACATCCCCTGAGGGTTCCTGGACTGCGAGAGGGTGCAGGCTGGGCTTAGGGACCCCCCCCCCACCCCCAGTGCACAAATTTTGTGCACCAGGCCTCTAGTTTAAATATATAAAATAAATATCAAAAATATAAATCTTTGTTTTACTATGGCTGCAAGTATCAAAAAATTTCTATATGTGACATGGCACCAGAGTTAAGTTAGGGTTTTTCAAAACGCTGACACGCCGAGCTCAAAAGGTTCGCCATCACTGCTCCAGGCTGCCCGTGCCCACACTCTCCTGTGCCCGTGACCACGCTCTAGGCTGCCCGTGACCACGCTTTTGCCGGAGCAGCAGAACCCCGGCCCCCTTCCTCCCTGAGGAGCCCGGCAGCGGGGGTGGGGAGCAGGGCCAAGGGGGCCCGGGGGGCTGCGGACTCACCTTCAGCATCACAGGCTTCTCCTCCTCCTTGTCGATGGGGATGTTGGTGCTATGCACCCAGGTGTTGGTGCACAGGTGTCTGAGCCGCACGTAGGAGTTCCTGGGAGAGGAAGGGAGGGTGTGGGGCCGGGACACGGAGGCTCTGCAGCCACGGCCTAGAACAGTCTATCGACACAGCCAGACAGCAACGCTGCGCTGAGCCAGTGGCCCGAGCACCCTGTTCGGCCTAAACACTGAGACGTGGGCTCTGATGGGACGCGCTGCTGTGGGCGTGGCTGACACGCCCTGTGCCTCCGTTTCTCTACCTTTAAAAGGGCGAATGGCACACAGGTCCCACGGGGGCTCCTGTGGGGGTGAAACCCTAGGACACGCGCAGTGCCAGGCACTGGGCCCGGACGGGCAGCGCTCAGCGAGAAGACGCTGCCACCTCGTCACGCGCGAGCTCCGCCACATTCACACCCAGTTACCACCCACACGCCTTCTCATGAACAAAACGGAGCTCAACTTAGTCAAGTGGCCACAGAAGACTGGTCTGACTCCTAAGTAGAATTTACTTTGCCCTCAGCGAACTTCAAACATCCCCTCTTCTAGAATTTCTTCTCAAATTTTTATCCAATTCGCCAGATCTCTCGGCTTTGGGAGGAGAAAGAGAGGAAAGACCGAGCGACGCGACCTTCAGGTTCGGCTTATCGACCCAAATACAGTGGGGCCTTGACTTACGAGTGTCCCGACTAACGAGTTTTTCAAGATACGAGCCGTCTCTCAGCCGATTTTTTGCTTTGAGTTGCGAGCTAAAATTCAGGTTATGAGCCAGCTTCAGATACTCCGCTAGTTGGCGCAGTGAACGTCACAGTGAACGCCACAACATCAGCCCAGCATCACGTGTCTCACTCGTTCACTTTTGATTTGACATACGAGTAATTTGAGTTACGAGTTCCGTCACGGAACGAATTAAACTCGTAAGTCAAGGCCCCACTGTATAGCACTTCTTGTCCAACCACCAAGAACTCACAAATGATAAGCCAAAAAAATAAAAATAAAAATAAAATAAAACAGAATTCAGCCGTGTTTCAATGGGCAGTGGGAACAGTCCTTCAGCAGCCCCTGTACGAAACCTTCCAGAAAGACTCCAAGGCACCGCCAGGCCGCAGAGACGGCCCTGGCCCGCGGGAGAGCCCCGGGAGCCGTACCTGGGGACCAGGCTGTCGCCGCCGCGGAGGGTGGTGGGGTCCAGCTCGAAGATGGAGGAGATGTCATTGCCCTCCGGCACGGACACCAGGGAGTACACCATCTTCTCCTGGGCGTTGCGCAGCCGGCTGCGGGAGGCGTCCTGGTCGGGGTCCGCCTGAGGAGAGGCCTGGGGTCAGGGCCCTGCGTGCCGACCCGGCTCACTGCAGTGCCCGGGAGAGGGAGCGGCGAGGCGAGCGTGACCTCGGCAGGAAAGGCACTGGCGTCATGGCGGTCACACAACACGGGCGCCACATCCACACC